TCAATGGTACACAACAACAACAACAGGAGACCCAGAGAACCCTCACTTTATCAAGAAGTAATTTGTAAAATACTCTTGGAAAGTGCTTCACGGGCTGTCCTTGGTAAACCAGGAGTGAGGGTGGAAGATGCCCCATTGATGCAGACTTCAGTGAAGATGTTAGGATGTCCACAATGACAAAACATAAATAGCAAAAGACAATTCATTATCAGAGAAGGAGTCCTGGTGGTGTGGTGATTAAGTGTGTGACTGCTAAGTTAAATGTCAGTGATTTAAACTCCCAACCACAACTCAGGAGAAACTGTATCATTATAGCTAAAACTAAGGTGCACCTCATTCATCTCTTATAACACATTGTAGAGTACTACATGAAAGTTAAATTGTGCTTCTCTTATGTTCATGATTAAAATTGGTTTGTAATGTTATAATTCAGTGAATGACTTCACATGGTCCTTCTAGCCACAGTTTTATACGATTGGGTGGGATTATGCAAATGAGGTGTTTGTAGCCCACCAAAGGAATTGGATCACTTGCTAAGAAAACAGTATGGCCAATGTGTGTGTCATGGTATTTAACCTTCACTAACCAAGTCATTGATTTCACATGCAAGCAAGATTCTACTGAAGATTATCCAAAAACGACTGGAGCAGCACATCAGCAGAGAATTGCCAGATATCCAGGCTGGGTTTAGAAGGGGTCGTAGCACTAGGGATCTTAGCTGAAAGCAGGGAATACCAGAAGAATGTCTATATGTGTTTCATTGCTTATGCAAAGGCATTTGACTTTGTGGATCATAACAAACTGTGGCTGACTCTGAGAAGAATGGGAATCCCAGAACATTTAATCGTGCTAATGCAAAACCTATACTTGGACCAAGAGGCAGTCGTCAGAACAGAGCAGGGTAACACTGCATGGTTCAAAATTGGGAAGGGATGAGTCCTGTCTCCATACCTTTTCAACCTGTACGCAGAGCAGATTATCCAAGAGGCTGGGCTCTATGAGGAGAAGTGTGGCATCAGGATTGATGGAAGATCTATTAACAATCTGCGTTATGCAGATGACACAACGCTGCTTGCTGAAACTGAGGAGGACCTCATGCACTTGCTGCGAAGGGTCAAGGACTGCAGCCTTCAGTATGGACTGAGGCTCAATGTCAAGAAGACAAAGATTCTCACCACTGGACCAATAGGTAGCATCAGAATGGATGGTGAAGAGATTGAGATTGTTCACAGCTTCAGTTTGCTCGGCTCCACGGTCAACACTCTTGGCACCAGCAACCCGGAAATAAAAAAATGTATTGCGATGGGAAAGTCTGCTGTTAGGGACCTCTCCAAAGTACTGAAGAGCAACGGTATCTCTCAGGAGACTAAGGTGCATCTGATACAGGCCATGGTCTTTGCAATCACTTGTTATGCGTCAAAGAGTTGGGCAATGACTAGGGAGGATAGAAGGAGAATTGATGCCTTTGAGCTGTGGTGCTGGAGAAGAGTATTGAATGTACCATGGACTGCCAAGAAAACAAACAGATTCATCCTAAAGAGGTTTAAATCAGGCTACTCCTTGGAGTCAAAGATTCTGGGGCTTCGTCTGACATACTTTGGACATATTGTAAGGAGGGACACGTCCTCGGAGAGGGACATCATGCTTGGGAGGGTGGAGGGACAGCGCAGGAGGGGAAGACCCTCTATGAGGTGGATTGATTCAGTGACTGGGGTACTCGGGATGGGTGTGTCAGAGGCAGTGCAATTGCCACAGGATAGAGCAGGGTTTAGGGCTGTTGTACATAGGGTCGCTATGAGTCGCAAACGACTCGAAGGCACATAACAACAACAAGAACAACAACAACCACCAAGTTGTACAGCACTCTTCTGTCAATTTGCTCTTCTGAGGTAGTCTGGGTTTGCAGTGATGCTGATCCTTGTGTCATTGGGCGTCAAATGCCAAAACAGTTGCCCAAGTTGGATGGTGTTTTGTGAAACTCCCAGTTTAAGACAGGTTTGGAAGCAGGAGTGGCATATACGTCTAAATCGCATGCTTATAGAAACTCTATGAACTTGGTGAAATGATGATAGTTATAGAAAGGCTTTAGGTATTTTGTTCACAGAGTCATTCGCTATGAGTCATACTTGACTCAATGGCAATCAACAACTCCACAAGATCCACCTAACTTTAACTGTAATATTCTTAGTATCCCGGCCTATTCTAAACCCAGCCTGCACATCTGACAGTTCTCTGTTGATGTGCTGTTCCAGTCATTTTTAATAATCTTCAGCAGAATTGTGCTTGCATGTGATATCAATGATATTCTTTGATAATTTCCTCACTCTGTCATCTTTCTTTGGAATGAGAACAAATATAGATCTCTTCCAGTCAGTTGACCAGATGGCTATCCTTCCAGATTTCTTAGCACAACTTGGTGAGCACTTCCAGGGCAGCATCTCTTTGTTGAAATATGTCAATTTGAATGAATATGAAATTTGAAATATGCCATAGATTCCTGAGGCCTTGTTTTTTGTCAGTTCTTTCAGAGCAGCTTGAACTTCTTCCTTCATCACCACAGACTCTCGCTCATACATTGTTTCATGAAATTCTTCTGTGTCTGCCAAATCCTTTTGGTACAATGACTTGGTATACTATTCTCATCTTCCTTTAACACATCCTGGATCATTTATTATTCTATTCAAAGCGTCCATAAGTATTGCAACTTGGGGTGTGAATTAGTTTTTAAGTTCCTTCAGCTTAAGAAATGCCGAGGGAGTTTGACCGCTTTTCTTTTTCACTTACTTTGATTTTATGACTCCAGCTCTTCATACATTTCATTTTAATACAATATTTTGTCTTCTCACACTGTTCTTTGAAATCTTCTGTTCAGATCCTTCAGATCCTTAATATATTTATTTCTTCCCTTTGCTTTGGCTTCCTGGTGCTCTAATGCAGTATTCAGTCTCTAATGTTAGGTGGATCATGGCTGAAAGCAGGGAGTAAGAGAGGATTGTCTCTGTATTTCATTGACTATGCAAAGGCATTTGACTGTGTGGATCACAACAAACTGTGGCTGACTCTGAGAAAAATGGGAATCCTAGAACACTTGATTTTGCTTATGTGAAACCTATACTTGGACCAAGAGGCAGTCATCAGAAAAGAGCAAGGAAACATTGCATGGTTCAAAATTGGGAAGGGTATATGCCAGGGATGTGTCCTATCTCCATACCTTTTCAGTCTATATACAGAATAGATTATCCATGAGGCTGGGCTCTATGAGGAGAAATGTGACATCTGGATTGGAGGGAGACTCCTCAACAATCTGTGTTATGCAGATGACACAACCCTGCTTGCTGAAACTGAGGAGGACCTGAAGCACCTGCTGAAGAAGGTCAAGGACTACAACTTTCAATATGGATTGAAGCACAACATTAAGAAAACAAAGATTTTCACCAATGGGGCAATTGGCAGCATCATGATAGATGGTGAAGAGATTGAGATTATTAGTTTGTTTAGCTCACAATCAACATTCTTGGTACCAGCAGTCAGGAAATTAAAGGATTAATTGCATTGCGAAAGTCTGCTGTCAGAGACCTCTCCAAAGTACTGAAGAGCAATGATGTCAGTTTGGAGACTAACGTGCACCTGATCCAGGCCATAGTCTTTGTAATTACTTGCTGCGCCAGAAAGCTGGACAATGACTATGTATGATAGATAATTGATGCCTTTGAGCTGTGGTGCTAGAGAAATGTATGGACTGCTAAGGGAACAAACAGGTTCGTCCTAGAGAGGTTGAGACCAGGCAGCTTTTTGGAGCTAAGGATTCTGACGCTTCATCTGACATACTTTGGACATGTTGCAAGTTGGGAGCAGTCCTTGCAGAGTGCTTCGGAGGGTTGGAGTAACAGCACAAGAGAGGAAGACCCTTGATCAGAAGGATTGATTTAGTGACTGGAGTAATGGGGGTAGTTGTGTGAGAGACAGTAATATTGATACAGGATAGAGTGGCCATTAGGGTTGTTGTACATAGGGTCACTATGAGTTGCAGAAAACTCGACAGCATATAACACCAGTCCCAAAAGTGTTGATTGTGGAGCTGAGAAAGCTGAAATTGTTAACAATCTCAATCTCTTCTCTATCTATCATGGTTCTGACATTTGGCCCAGTGCTGAGAATCTTTGTTTTCTGAATGTTGAACTTCAGTCCAAGAAACGAGAGACTAAATGGCTATACCATAGGTAGACTTGAAGGATTAAACTATTCCAGGTGTCTATCTCCTCTGAGTTTTACGGAAGCCTTGGAGACATAGTGGGTGAAGTGTTGAGCCTCTAACCAAAACCTCAGCAGTCCACTGGGACAAGAGGAGGCATTCTTTTCCTTTAAAGATCGCAGTCTTGGAAACTTGATGAGGGTCATTATGACCCTACTTCAACCAGATGGCAGTGAATAATAACACTGGTTTTAATAAAAAAATAGCCACTTTTCAATCACTTGGTGCTCGACTTCCTACACCACAGAAAGGATTACATTTTGGGCTCCAACAGAGAAACGTTGAATTTCCTCTTTAAACTATTCAGTAGTTCCAAAGGTTTAAGAGTCCTTGGTAAATCTAGTTCTGTTCTACTGTCACATCGGGTCAAAATGAGTCACTTCACTCCCAAAACAGAGGGCTCTGGTGTCTAGTAGAGGTGTGCTGCTAATCCAAAGGTTACAATTCTCTGAAGGTTCAAATCTACCGACGACTCTGCATGAGAAAGGTGCATAGTCTCTGGTGAGACTTACAGCTTCAGAAACCCGCTTTCAGAGGCTGCTATGAGTTGGTTTCCACACTGGTAGTGAGGTGGATGAGCACCCAACAGGAGGTAAGGCTCACTTGTGGGCCTTTAGCACACCTGGTCTAGCCTGGATGACATCATCCAGTGAGCAGAAGGGGGCGGTGCAGAGTTAGCCCCACCCCCTTACAGATAAAACGCCCATCCCTCGGTATTTGCCCCTTTCTCACCCGTGCGGCGTGACGTAAGACGTGGGTCACGCAGTTTAGTCCGGAAGCAAAAAGCGAAGGGGCGGAGTCGAAGTCGGAAAGGAGTGCCTTGCGTCCGGGTCGTCCTGACGGGGGCGGGGCCAGGATGGTAACGGCTCGGAAGCCGAGGGGGCTGGGCCGGAGGGAGGCGGAGGAACCGGTGCCCGCCACTGCTACCTCGGACTCCTCTGCTGCTCCAGCCTGTCCCCTGTAGCGCCCGAGGGCCCCGCTTCAGCCATGATGATCCACGGCTTCCAGAGCAGCCATCAGGACTTCTCCTTCGGGCCCTGGAAACTGACGGCGTCTAAGACCCACATCATGAAGTCGGCGGATGTGGAGAAGTGAGGCTCGCGGGGTTGGGGCGCGGGCTCGGGAGCTGAACCTGCGGGAGAGAGACAAGTAGGGGGATCCCCGTTCTGCCCTGCTCCATCTCCTGGGGCGGAGGCGTGGTCCCCTGGGGGGGGCTTCTGAATGACAGCATCGTTAGCTAATCACCACCACCTCTATACCTGTAGATGAGGTTCGCCAGCCTCTGTGGTCTTGAAATGCACCCTTCCTCGGTTTGCGTAACTGTTCTAGTACTGACACCACTTCTAAATGGCTTTCGCCTTTTTAAAGAGTTAATAACGAGGATGCTGTATGTGTTCAGGGAGCTCTTGTGGCCTAGTGGTTAAGGCGGTGTGCTGCCAAAGGCACGTGGTTCGAATCCACCAGCAGCTCCTCTGGAGAAGACGGACCGTCTCCTCCTGTGTGATTTACTGCCTCTAAAAGCCCGCGGGAGGGTCAGTTATGGGTCCAACTCAGTGGTACATTAAGAACAACGAAATCCCGCTGGAGGGTCAGCTATGACTTAATTCCAGCCTGATAGATGCATGTACATACCTACATATTCATGCCATATAACAATACACATGTTATATATATGTATTGTTTTCAGCATATCAAATACCAAAGGAAGTACTTGAGATAGGGAAGATGAAAGATAACCTCAGCCTCAAGAAATTTACAATGTCACAAGAGAGACAAATAGCTATCATACAGTGTGAGTAACTCTTATGAGAGATACATGCAAGAGGTCATTTGGGTTCACTAGAGTACAAGGTATTTGGATAATTGGGATGCTTAAAAAGAATATAAATTCCTGGGGATGAGATGGGGTGTGTGTGTGTGTGTGTGTGTGTGTGTGTGTGTAAAGCTAGGAAACCAGAATGAAAGAACTTCGTTGCATTTGTGGCTCTTGGACTGAATCTTGACAAAATTTGGCTGAAGGGATGATGTTAGTAAACCCAAAAGGGTGAGGAAGAAGGAAAGCTTAATGCAGCTTGAGGAACTGTGCAATGAACTGCTTCTGAAAGCTGGAGGGTCAGCTGTGGGTCATTTCCAACTCTGCAGCACACAGCAACATTAACTACCTATAAAGTTGTTGTTTTATTGTTACATGCTGTTCAGTGGAACTCACTTATATCTTATACCCCTACGCCTTGCCCCCAAGTAAACTATCTCACCCCAGCAAAAATAGCAGCGTTCAACAGGGCAGTAGACAACAAAAGCTGATGAGGTTCTGAAGAGGATGGAACTTTTATTCACTACTGGTGGTAATATATTTTCGAAAGATCTTAAAAAATAAAAAAGCATGAAACTTACTGGAATCCATTCCCATTCATTATAACCCTGTAGAATGACCTGAAATGGGCTGATTTGAGTTTCTGAAGCTGTACATCTTGGTGAGATGAAATACCCTCTTCGTTCTTTTACAGTCCAGTTGCTGTTGTTATGCACCGTTGAGTTGAAACCAACTCATGGCTGACCCCCCAGTGGGTTTTAAGAGGCAGTTAATAGCACTGGAGAAGACGGCCCATCCTTCTCCCTCAGAGCAGTTAGTAGATTCAAGCTGCAATGTTTTGGCCTGGCAGCACATCTTCTTACCATTAAACTTTCAGCTTCATATACAGTCTAGTGGGTAGGTTCAAACTTCCATCCTTTTGCCTATGCCATCAGAGCACCTTCTCTGAAAGATCACAGCCTTGAAAACCCTATATAGGGTTTCTGCTCTACATACCCATGATCAACTCAAAGATAAGGACGAATAATAGCCTGTTCAAAGCTTGACATTAGAAATAGAATGTTTTGGTCTTTCTTAACCATACTGGTGAATTTAGACCATTTAAAGAAATGTTAAATTAGTGACCGTGATATATGTTACATGCTACTGAGTCACCTATGACTCATAGCGACCCTGTGTACAACAGCTCTGAAGCCTACCCTATCCTGAGCCAGTCTCACTGACTCCAACACACCTACACCCATTGTCCTAGTTAATGTATTAGTCCCTCTCATCCAGGGTCTTCCTCTTCTGCACTTATACTCCATCCTTCCAAGTATGATGTCTTTCTTTAAGGATGGTCCCTCAAGGTCATGTGCTCAAGGTATGTGTGGTAGAGCTTCAAAATCCTAGCCTCCAAGGAGGAACTTGGTTTCACCTCTTTCAAAACAGACCTATTTGTTTTCTTGCAATCCATTGTAGGTTCTATACTCTTCTCCATACCCCAACTCAAAGGCATGGATTCTTCTATCATCTTTAGTCATTGTTCAGCTCTGATGCATAGCAAGTAATTGTGAAAACCGTGGCCTGGATCAGGTACACCTTGGTCTGTAGACTGACATCATTGGTTCTTCATCCTCTGGAGAGGTCCCCGACAGCAGATTTTCCTAGTGCAATTCATCTTCTCATTTCCTGACAGCTGGTGCCAAGAGTTTTTCTCGTGGAGTCAAGCAAACAGAAATTGTTAACAATCTGAAATCTTGTCTCCATCTATCTTGGTGCTGCCAGTTCGCCCAATGGTGAGAATCTTTATCTTCTTGATGTTAAGCTTCAATCTATATTGAAGACAACAGTCCTTGACCTTCTGTAGCAAGTGCTTCAGGTTTTCCTCAGTTTCAGCAAGCAGTGTTGTGGCATCTGCATAATGTATGTTGTTGATGAGTTTTCCTCTAATCCTCTTGCCACATTCCTCCTCATAGAGCCCAGCCACCTGATTGTTAGCTTCTGTAAACTTGTTGGATGGTCATCTGTGCATTGGTTCTCACTCCACAATGAGGCATTGGTTAGATGGTATATTTGTCTGTAGTGGTTTATAGGTCTACCAGATTTTTCCAGATATAGTGGACAAAATCCACAGAACTACATTTTATATAGTATTTTATTTGACATGTATCATTTAGTAAAAAGTTATTATAACTTATTTATATTAGGTTATTTTATGGAATACTCAGATTGCATTTATTTTTCACCTTAATAAGTATTTCATATTTTCTGTCTCCTAATTTCAAGGATAGAGTGTTTGGGGGGCTTTTTATGCAATCCTGGATATGCTTACTAGTCTATGCCAGGATATTTGGAAGTCAGCTGACTAGCCGACAGATGAAGAGATCTAGAGTTCCCATTCCCAAGAAGGATGCTCTAACACAATGTGGAAATTATCAAATAATATCATTAATATCACATGGAAGCAAAATATATTTGAAGATCATCCCAAAACAGCTGGGACAGTACATTGACAAAGAACTGCCAGAAGTTCAAAGTGGGCTTAGAAGAAGCCATGGTACCAGAGATATCATTGTGGATAGCAAAGATATTGGTTGAAAACAGAATACCAGAAGAATGTCTGTTTTAATGACTATGCAAAGGCATTTGATTGTGTGGGTCATAACAAACTATGGCTAACATTGAGAAGAATGAAAATCTCAGAACACTTAAGAGTGCTCATGTGAAATCTATACCTAGATCAAGAAGCTGTTGTCCAAACAGAGTAACACTGCATGGTTTAAATCAGGAAGAGTGTGCGTCAGGGATATATCCTTTCTCCATACTTATTCATAGTATGCTGAGCAAATAATTCACGAAGCTGTGCTCTGTGAAGACATATGTAGCATAATGATCCAAGGAAGATGGATCAAAAACCTGTGTTTTGTAAATGATATAACCTTGCTTGCTGAAAGTGAGATGACTTGAAGCACTTGACTGTGATGGATCAAAGATAATAGTCTTCAATATGGATTATATCTCAACTTCAAGAAAACAGAGGTCTTTAGCAGTGGACCAGTAGGCAAAATCATGATAGATGGAGAAAGGATTGAAACTGTCAATAATGTAATCTTATTTGGATCCACAATCAACATCCTTCATACCAGGAGATCAGGAGATGTATTGCTTTGGGCAAATCTGCTGTCAGGGATCTCTCCAAAACACTGAAGAGCAGTGATGTAGTTTGAAGACTAAAGTGTGCATGATTTAGGTTGTGGTCTTTTCCATTACTTGCTATTCATTCTCCTGAGAGCTGGACAATGAGGAAAGTTGAAACAAGAAGAATTGTTGCCTTTGAATTGTATGTGGTGTTGGAGAAAAGTACTGAGTATTCCATGGACTGTCAAAAGAATAGATATGCCTTGGGAAAGGTGCAACCAGAGTGATCTTTGGAAGCAATGAGGGCAAAACTTCATCTCTCACACTTGGATTGCTAGGAGAACTTATTCTTTGGAAAGATCATGTTTGGAAAGGTTGAGGGGCAGCAAAAGCGAGCCAAACCCCCTTTCTCATCGAGATTGGATTGACACAGTAACTACAGCGATGGACTCAAGTATATCAGAGATGATGAGGGTGGCATAGGACAGGACACTATTCGGGTCTCTTTTTATAGGGTCGTAAAAGCCATACTTGACAGCAACTAACAACAACAATAGCAAGGAATAAATTATGTAAATAAGGTATTATAAACATTAGTAGAATATATGGATTGATTTTCCTGCATCTGAAATTGCTTATTTAGGACATATTTCCCCAAGCTAATATTTTGTGTCAAAGAATCTAAGTCTGGTTAAATTTTTAGAATGTATTGCCAGATTTTCTATGATGGCGTACAAATTGGCACGTTCCTGGAACTCATTCCACGTGAGAAAGTGCTCATTTCCCTCACTTTAGAAACATGCTTGCTTTATTATCACCTTTGAAGGTTTAAACAAGTTGAGAATTTTATTGGAAGAGTTAATTATTTCCTTTAACAAGATCTTTAATTACTGCCTTTATAACCATTGTTAATATAGTGGTTATATGAGAAAGAATTCACTAGAAACGTGACAGGATAGATGCATGGGACTATGGTGCATTAAGCCTTTTCCACGGCAGTTAAAACAGAATTACTCTTATTCTCTAAAATGGTAGGTCTTTGATGACCATCTTTCCATCTATAGCCTAAATTGTTTAATTAATCTTGAAGGGTTTTGTGTATATGAGTATCTTTATATACAAAAACATACCAACACCTGTTTGGTATATCTGATTGAA